GCAAGTCACAGGTTCTGCTCACATTCAAGGGGATGGGATCATGTGGGGTGGGCCTACCTTTGGACCCATCTGCCAAACAGAGGAAGGAAGTACGAACAGAGAAGGGGGTTCACCTCTCAAGAAAATGCCAGCACAGTATGGTCAGAATTACTTCACTTATAAGTGTGACCTTAGAGTGTAGGTACGGGGGGGAAGGAGGGTGGAGAGAAAAAAGATAGAGCCCCATATTTTTCCAAATAATCACATATTTTCAAGGTTTTTCTAGAATTACTTGCTGCCAGGTATTATGTAATAAAATGCAGATATGGTTAAAATGTACAGTTAACTTTAAACAGCTGACAACTGGGCAACCCAAACCCTCCTTCCTTCAACCAGTGCAACAGTGGACATGGCCTTCAGGAGCATGAACGTGGTAAGCAAAGGCAAGGCCGGTCCAAAGGCAAACTTGTGAGTAGTTGTCTGAAAAACCAGAGCCGCACAAGGTACAAGGACAATAAATAATCAAATGCTAAGTGCCGGCCACTGAAAGCCAAGCTCGGAGGCCTCTTGATACAGGAAAAATAGGGACCTCTCTGGGTAGAAGAAGAAATGGAAGCTGAAAGAGGAAAAGTATAAGCAACACCAAGAAGGAAGGAGTTCTTGGTCTCTAGGGGAGATGAAGGGGAGAGTTTGAGAAGAGGGGAGGAGGGAGAAAGCGAAGCCCCTTCTGCACAAGAAGGACTGGAGTGGCGGTGAGGAGAGGGATGGGAGCGGGCACGACAAACCTAGCCATCAGTTAACTGGGAAGTTCGGTTAACCAGGGTGATAAGCCAGGTAAGTAAAATCCCACCGAGCTTGGCAGGCGTCCTCTGGCCATTAACTTTAATGTGTTTCAGAACCCCAGCACTTTCACAGGTGTGAGTTAAAACCATCTGGTTTCTGTACTCTGCCTTGCCTATTAAAACCCAGCATCTTCAAAGATAAATTGTGGGCCGAGAGGAGAGAGGGAGAAGAGATAGGAGGTAAAAGGTTTTACCACACGCTTACCGTCACCAGGAGGGGCCTTTAAACAACCTTTGAATGGGATGATTTTGTTTCAAAATTGCAATGTAAAGAAATAAAATATGGTGAAATGTTATAACATATGGAAACACAACCGGGGCAAATAAATGGCTCAAAACAAAATCCTGACAAAATACATGCAGTGTGTGGTGACCCAGACACGATAAATGGAAAAAAACAAAACAACACAAAACAAAACTGAGGGGTATGCTCATAAATTTGACACAGTTGCAAGTAGAGCTCACTAAAGATTATTTCTATGCAAATATGCATTTAGCCAATTCAAGAGTATGCAAAAAAAAATCTAAATATATTTCTCAAAAATCAATTCTTGTACAGTACAAGTGAATCAAGAAGCAAGTACACCAATACATATTAAAATGTGACACATGCAAACTTGTCAGAAGACAAGCATCCTGGACACAGGTGACAGGGACCAAGAAACTGTCCCACGCTGCCTGAGGTCTATGTCTAGTCTAGAGAAAATGTTTGACGGTGGCACCTCTGCCATCGATGCAGCCTCTTTTCTCCCTTTCAGGGACAAAGCTTGAGCCTTGGAAGTCCCAAGCTCCCTGCTTCCTTCTGGTTTACACAGGAAGTTCTCCACAAGACTGTGTGCAGCAAACTTGTAAAACAGGGCACCCTGGCTGATTGGAGGCGCCACCAGAGATTCCAAATCCGGGCAATAAACAGGTTCTTAGCAGAAAGCTCTCTGCCTGTCCCCGTTAGCCCCTTAACAACCATCCCTCCTAAATACCTCATTTCAATAGCCTGGTACTCCCTAGTTAGACCAGTTCCTTTGAGTTCACATTCTAGAGAGCAAAAGGTGTCTGTCATTTCACCATTAGCTAATAAGTATACCATCTTGATCAGCTGTGCGTCTAGGTGTTCTAAATTCATTATTAACTAGAGATTGTCTCCCCACATTTGACAAAAGAGGAAGCTGCGGTGCGAGATTCATCAGATTCATCATCCTTTTCAGTGTCCTAAGGTTCATTAGGAGCAGAGCTGGGTCCAAAGGAATCCAGATAAAGGTAAGGCATATGATTTTTGTACTGTAACCATCATCTCTCTTTGCTTTTATAGTTACAAACTGAACCACACAACTGAGGTTAGAAATTGCACAACAGCAATGGCTGGAAGGGGCACGAGAGGACCACTGGGGTACTCCACTGATCCTATGTATTAATACGGGTGCCGGTTACTCATGCATGTGAGTGTGCCAATTCATCGAGGTATGAGGGTGGAGTGTGTGCCCTGTCCTGCTTATATTGTACCTCAACAGAAAGTTGAGGAAACTTTGCCCTTCAATGACAGTAGCCTAGGTCAGGCCTCTGTACTTGCAGCAACATAGAGGGTTTTGTGTTTCTTTAACTCAGGCCTCTTACTTGGGGAAGATTCATATGGGGCACACCTGAGACGCCAGCGAAAAGCTCATCAGCTGAATGTTGCATCACGGACCAATGCATGTCATGCTTTCTTCTCTCCTTCTCATTTCTACCTGGGGTGGGAGTCGGGGGCTCTCTCATGAGTCTTATACACATGGTAAGGATTAAAGAAATTCTTTATTTGTTTCCTGTATTAATACTGATAATGGGCTGAAATGTGTCCCTCCAAAACTCATATGTTGGAGTCCTAACCTCAAGTACCTCAGAGCATGACTGTATTTGGAGACACAACTTTAAAAAAGGTAAATAAGGTAAAATGAGGTCACAAAGATTGAAATCCCAATATTTAAATTTAACTCATGTCCCACGGGTATCCTTATAAGAAGGGAGATAAGAACACAGACACAGAGAGAAGACCGTGTGAAGACACAGGAAGAAGATGGCCATTTATAAGACAAGAGGAGAAGCCTCCAAGGAAACTAATCCTGCTGACACCGTGATTTCACACTTCCGGCCTCCAGAGAATATTTTCTGTTGCTAAGCCAGCCAGCCTGTGGTACTGTTGTGGCTGCCCTGGGAAACTAATACAAGGTCCACTATGAGAACCCCTTCAGTGTTTTCCCAGTTGAGAAAGCCTTAGACAAGGCCTGGAGAGTCAGGGACACTGGGACTTGAGTCCTTGCCCTGTGCTGTGGCCTTGGGCCAGGCATTTGGAGCTTTCATCATGGGTAAGATGTGGACAGTCACAACCCCCCAGGCTTATCATAAAAATTTAATTTGGTGATGCACGAGTGGTACTGAACAATACGTCTGGCTCAGCTGGGGCTCAATAAATATTAACTGTTAATGTTATTGATATGATGATGACAAAATGAAGATTAAAACATACTTTCTGACTCAGTTGTTATAATGATGAGCACTGTGCAAATGAAAAAGGTATAGTACAAAGGTCAATTAATATTTTGACAGCAATGTTGAAATGTAGCAAGACAGCTTCATGCAAACAAACATTTCCTGAGTTCTGGGATATGAGGCATGGTGCTGAAATGGCACTGAGGGGTTGGCGCATGCGAGATGTCCTGAACTTGGGCGGGATGGGGTGGGCCGCACAGCGGAGGTGCGAGTGCCACGGGAGCAGGAGCGCGAGCAGGGGCTCACTTCCAGCTTGGGGGCTGGGCGCACATCTTAGGGGTTCTCACCCGCCCGCTTCACAGCAGACAGAACCTAACCCCAGACAAATCCAAGGGGCCTCTTCACATAGCTGCTCACCTGCGCCACCTGTGTTCATGCCGAGTCACTGCACTGAGCTTCAATAACCAGATCCATTTCATGCAGTAATTGGACCAATCAGCAAAGCCGCAAGTCTGACCAGTTTTTAAACTGACTTGGCCAGTCAGCTGGGGGAACTGAACTAAGTGACCAGACTACCTGGTGGCATACACGTGAAAAAGGTCTGGCCAGGCTGCCCAGATCACCAGGGCAGGTTTTGTCTCTTCTCAGATGGTGTTCACTACCTTGAATGTGCCCCTTGTTTAAACAAAACAAACATCAAATAACATTTCATTTGCTCATATAATTTTTTCAAAATAGCTATGTGTGTGACAGCACATGTTTGCATGGGCATGAGCACACACACCGGGAGAAAGCAGAGAACAACTCTCACTAAAAGCTTTGGGGAGCCATGAGGGCTCCTGAGACACAGGGCAGAGAATTCTAGGGCAGGGCGAGGAAGCTAACTAGCGTTGTTTTCTTGAAGAAGAATAGGCTACTGATTTCCTAATACAGCATTTGCTCCTTCCCTTCCTCGTTTGCTTTCACACGTATTCCTGAACCAACTATGCATCAGGTCCCGCAACATGAAGAAAGAGAAAATACGACCCGTGACTCAGAGGACTGAGGTCTGCAGCGGGGCCGGGAGCTTGGCATCTCCCATTAGCACCTTCCAGAGTGGCTCTGCCCTGTCTAACGGCGGACACAGTACACAAGCAGTGTGGAGTCCCCGCCATGTTTCTATAATGTTATAACTTAGCTTACCGTCTTCCAGAAATGGTTGAAATCCCAATATTTAAACTTAATTACAAGTCTAAAACTTGTAAAAATGATTTTACAACTAGAACCACACAAGAGAATCCCCAAATTCAGCACACGTTCCCTATTTCTGAATTACAAATGCATTAGCCTCACCTTCCAGCAAGATTAGGGCAGAACTGTGTGCAACACCCAGCCCAGAGCAAGGGATTAGTAAACATGTGTTGACTGATTAAGCTGAGCATCACAAAGAGCTACGGAAAAGAAAAAGCCAAGAATGCAATTAAAAGACAATTATGCCAATATTTCTGGGGTGTCTATAAAATACTTCATGGTGGAGCCTGTTGTCGGTACCCCACCCCTGCCTCATCTGGTCTCAGAATCAAGGAGTCCCTGGAACTGCACTAAGAGGGGGAGGTCCTTCATCTGCCATGCACTTCTGTCCCATGTGGCACGAAGACCCACATGCTCCCCTGATATTAAGAGACTCACACTGACAGGGTCAGCTTCGGGAACGTGAGGAAGCAAGCCATCCAGGACGCACAGCCTAAATAGGTAGACCTTGAACAATCTGATATTGTTCTTTTCGTTTGCACTAAGGATGCAAAAGAAAAAAAAATCCCGGCACTTTCGGTCTTTGCGGTGGCCCCGACTGAAGAGGCGACTACACCTATTCAGATAGATAGACAGGTAGATAGATAGACAGACAGATAGATTATATACTGGCCCAAACGGCCTGCCACCTCCACTTCAGCCAGGGTGCAGGGGACACTGCAGGGTCCCAAACTGAAGGCAGCAATCTGGGCCCAAAGCAAAAGGTGTGTTGAATATATGACAAGTGATTTTACTAATAACAAAAGAGCACACATGTAAGCAAACCATCCTGCTGCTTTGTGCATTTACTCACAATGTCAAAGTGGAAAAGGACCCTGTGAAACCACAAAAGTTCTGAACACAGAAAGTTCTCTCAAAAAGCATTTGGTAGCCAAAGCTATCTAGACCTGTCTAAGTTATTTATCTTACTGAGTGTGAGTTGCACTCATTTTGATGCGGAGATATTCATGTGTTTAATTGCTAGGGGCTGCCCCCAGGGGTGTTACATCATACAAAGTTTAGCAACCTTTCAGTAGAGAGCCAGGTGGTAAATACTTTAGGCTTTGTGGGTTTACGGCCACTGCTTTGCATACTCAGCTCTGCGATGGTAGCTAAAAGTAGCCATGGATAACATGTAAACAAGTGGGTGTAGCTGTGTACCAATAAAAATTTATTTACAAAAAGAATCCTCAGGCCAGACTCTGGTCTGTATGTTTACCGAACGGTGTAAGGCACAGAATGCATAGCACATCACCTTCCTAAATTTTGTAAGTTTCTGAAACATATCTAGCCCCAAGGGTTTTGCCCAAGCGGTTGGCATCTCCCATGCAGTTTTGATGCTAGAAAGCATTCTCTTCCCTGCAAAACCCCCTGCAGTTTTGATGCTAGAAAGCATTCTCTTCAGGGGAGTTCTTTACAAGGGGCTGGGGCTGCCCTCCAGTCAGAGCTTGGCTGGTCTTCCTAAGCAGCTTTCAGTCATCTGCTGTGACACTTGCATGCAGGGATAGCGGTGGTCTCCATTTCAGTCTGGAGTTCAGGTTTGCGGAACTGGTGGAGAGCACCTGCTAGGGGTCAGATTCCACAGGATGACTGGCATGCAGGTTTTGCAGGGAGAGAAGGAGGGTGAATGCTCCTTTTGGAAGGGCAGGCAATTGGGAGAACAGCAGTTTTCCCAAAGACGGGTTTTCCAGATGACTCTCCTAGACACCCATCAGTTTTCATGAGGAGCCCTTAGCACCGGGAAGCACTTGCGCAGCCCTAGGGTCCAGGTAGCCGCATGTGACACAACTTGGGGTACACACTCACCAAGACTGCATGGGAAACCCTGGGGTTTCATGAGAAGGAAGGTTTCTAGAAAAGTTATCCCTGCTCTCTCGCTCCTGAGGGTTTGCCACTGTTGGGGGCATCCGGAGACGGGCCCTGGGCGCAGACATGAACGCGGTCAGGGGTGGCAGCCAGCAGAGTCAGTGGAGCGGATGAGGCGCCCTCGAATGTCTTTATGGACCACAGAGACACGGGAGCCCGCACACGAGAAAGCTGGAGATAGAAACCATGAGTTAGCGAAGAGCAGTCTCTCCAAGAACTCCCAAGAGACAACCCTTGGGGAACCCAGAAACACTCGAAGGCACTGAGAAGGGCTGAGAGCACAGATTCGTAGGTCAGGGGAAGGAAGGCAGTGAAGTGCAGGCTCGGGAGTGAGCCCATGGCTTCTGGGGGAAATGACGCATGAAATAATATCTGCTAACTTTTACGAAATATTTATTGAATGTATTGGGGTGACATTGGTTAATAAAATAATATAGGTTTCAGGTGTACAACTCTATAATACATTGTCTGTATATTGTACTGTGCGTTTACCACCCCAAGTCAAGTCTCCTTCCATCACCTTTCATACCCCCATTACCTCTTCTTCGTCCTCCTGCCCTCTTCCCCTCTGCTGATCACCATATTGCTGTCTGTGTCCATGGGGCTTTTTTTCCCCTTTGCTTAATCCCTTCACTTTTTTCATCCTGCCTCCAACACCCCTCCCCTGTGACAGCTGCTAGTGCTAATTCTTGAGCACTTACGCCATCCCAGGGACTGTGCCCAATGCCTTACCGGTGGTTTCAATCCTTGTAATAACCCTGCAAGGTAACTGTCAGTGAGAAGGCTAACCCCAAGTCCTGAGCCCAGGGCTGCCTGTTAAGTACGTGCAGAGCGAAGGCTGAACCCCAGCTGCCTCCGGTGCCTGCGCCATTCTGCCTACGGTGACAGAGAGGGACCCTTCATCATCAGACAGCTCATCTAATGACGGGGCGTGAAGACCTCATCTAACCTCAACACCATCCTTTACATACCTTCAAGGGTCCTTGCAAATGCTTTTCATTCCTGTCTATTTATACGTCTTTGCTGGCATCAGCCTTGCAATACATTGCTCCCGAAAGACTATCTGACCACCATGTTGTAAGCA